TTCCTCCCATGCTTCTAAAAAGTAGCATGTTAAAGCACCACAGTGCACAACTGGTCACCTGCTGACATAAGCCCATTGAGTGGCCCTTAGTGCATGGGCCACCTAGTGAACCTCCTAAGTGTGCGGGTCCCCGGCTGCACCAGGGAGGGGCCGGGGGGGTGAGAAATAGTTGAGGCCAGCAGGTACATGGCAGTTGCCCGTTTGCCCCTTGTTAAAGACAGCCTTGATGGGGATAACAATCCAGTATACCAACAAACGTTTGCCATCAGGGTATGCAAATTTTGTGGTAGGAGAGACTTTTCTCTGTTAAGCATTCCATGTAGCATCCAAAATTAATTTTAGATAACATGTACTTCTGCTTGGGGATGTGCCATTCCAGAATATGACAATGTTTACGTGCTTCAATTTTGGCATTCGGTTTATAGAAAGATCTTACAGAACTAAAAACTGAGACAAGTATGATAATTAATAGATAAAAACATTGTTTTAATAAAAAAAAACTATAAAACTTTTGTTAACTTTAGAAAAATATGTGTCAGTGAGGAAATGATAAAATTTTAAACATAGCCAAGGCCAAAACAAACTTTTCTCTGTTAACCTGTTCATTAATAAGACTGTACAAAATTAATGAGTTTAGGAGGAGTGACAGTAAAAGTAAAAAAAATGAAAAATCAAGTGAAAGGATATGTACCGATAAACAGGAACATTTTAAATTCTTTATTTTTGTGTGCAAACGATTACAGGCGAGTTTGTATTGCCACAACAGGATTAACAATCAACACATTGCTATATAGTTTGAGACAGTAATATGGCAATTGTAGGTACTGCACATTTTTAAATTATGACATGAGAGAACTATTGAGTAGACATGTGGTGTGAGTAGTAATAAAATCTACTAAATAAAAGTGTGCAAACTAACATGTCTGCAGCTAAAGATAAATTGAAACTGTAATGGTTGCATACTTTAAATTGGTAACAGGCTTATCTCAACAGGAGAACTAATGGCATGCTGCCCCCAGGAGGCTTCAAGCAGGTTAATTGGTTAGATAGGGAGTAAGTGTGGATGTGTAAATGGGTAAGTGCCTAGTAGGTGAGTGGGTGTCAGACAGAAAATGGGCACTAGGACTTAGTCTGTATGTGTGAGAAGCAGCCAGAGTTATGGGGAATAAGTCCACTGTCTCCCAATGCCAGCAGTTGGTAGATCAGAGTGCATGAATATGCACGAAATGTAAGGCTCTGGGTCCCAGGCGAGAGTCGGCAGATCTGATCAGAGACAGGTAGCAGGGCTCTCCAGGACATCTCTGGCTTGTTGCTAGGTTCAGGCTTTGTCTGCGATGTCTGCGACCTCCGTGCTGATTCAGTGCAGGTGAATATCCTGAATATCATACAGCAAACTGCTGTCTGAGAACCACTTCAAAATACATCAAAATATCAAATGATATTGAGCTAAAACCGATAACATTAAATGGGCTAGTTAGACAAATTTAATAGAAATCCAAGTTAAATCTGTGCCTTCGAAGGCACCTACAAATGATTTAAAGAACATCTAAACTAACTGCCTGGCTCCCCCTGCCGGCCGGGTTATATCCAACACCTCGTCAGCCTCCCATAAAAAGGGATTTTGCTTGTACACGAATGCATCAGGGAGTGTGGGTTTTGGTACATACTTTGCAGGCAGACAGGTGGTGTACGGAGTAATGGCCTGAGACATGGAAACAGATGGCACTTATCCGCAACTTGACATTTCTTCAGCTATTCCAACTGGTTGTGGTGTGATCTGCTACGGGATAAACAGGTCATCTTTTTTACAGACAATATGTCAGTTGTTGACGCTGTCAAGGGCCGCCATCAGAAATGGGCCCCCCTCTAAGCCCTCGCAAAGTGCCTGGCTCCAAATCCCACCCACAGCAATAAACACAAACACACACACTGAGACAAAAGGACACAGATATACACACATACATACTGAAACAGACATACATAGTGACACACACACACACATAAGGACAGACAGACAGACTGACACACATACATAGAGACAGAATGACATACATACACACAGACAGACAGACTGATACAGCTAATTTTTCAGCCACCCTCCTGTTTCCTACCTTTTGCAGGAGGGTGGTTGAGGCTGCTGGAAGTCAGCGTGGCTCTCCCTCTTCACAGCCTCCAGTCTGCCTTTTTCTTCCTGTGTGGCGTGAGCTGGGAGGAAGTGACCGACCATCACTTCCTCCCACCATTACTTGCGAGAGCAATTTTTTTAAAGGGGCCCGGTCGCGCTATTACACGGCCGCAGTGCTGACCGGGCCCCTGAAGATATAGGGCCCATTGGGTGGCCCTAAATGCTTGGGCCGCCTGATGGGCCCCATCAGCGTGCAAGCCCCGGTGCAACTGCACCTGTGGCAGTTCCGCCGATACACATGGGGCCTGGCCGTCATGGTTGTCAGCCCCTAATGGAGACCCTGACACTGTCAACCATATGACTGCTTTCTCAGTACCTGTTGTTCGGTTACTGCAGCATTTTATCTTGCATTGCATGTCGCTGAATATTGTTTTCAGGGCACGCCATGTGACGGGGTATTTGAATGTGGTTGCTGATGCACTCTCTCTCGTTTGCAGTTGGTGCGATTTTTGTACTGCTGCTCCAGGGTCACAGGTTGAGGTATCAGCTTGAGCGGATGAAATGTGGCAGCTCAGGACATCCTGCTTGGATGACTCACAAGGGAGTCTTATGCACCCAGTACCTGGGTGGCTTATGTTAAGGTTTCGAATGCTTAGGATGACGCGGTAGCTGGTACAGGGGGGGATGGCTCTTTGGAAAAGCACTTGGATATGTTATTGTGGTTTCTTTGTCTGTTATTCGCTGCAGGGGCATCCCCATCAGTGGTAGATCGGAACAGGGCTGCGTTAGCTTTCATGTGAGATCCGCAGCAATTCGGCACACATTTCTTCTGGATTGGAGCAGCCCGCTTGGGTTTTGGGGAACAATTAGTTAAGCGGATTGGAAGACATACATACATACATACATACATACATATATACACACAACCATACAGACAGACAATTCTGGTCGTATGTGTGGCCCAATGGTTAGTGTAAGTATCATGGATGTGTATATAATAAAAAATTTAAAAAGTTATTTACATCTGTGAGATAGGTACATTGGTTGGTCAGATGGTAAATGTGGTGGCTGAGGGGGTCTGTACAGGTGTTTTGATGATTCACTTGTTTGTTTATTTCCTCAGGATGGGTCGCATGGGCATGGGCGTCCGCAGGGGGGGGCAAGAGGGGGCACTTGCCCCCCCCTGGATTTTTCAGCTTGTTCTGCTATTTTTGGTTTGTGTGAGAATACACTGCAATACCGGCGCCGGCCAGTAGGTGGCGCTGTGAATGGAGAAAGGCAGGAAGCTACAGCTTGTCCCTGCCTCTCACTCATGACTGAAACCGCAGGGGAGCAGCACAAAGGCAGCCTACAGAGCAGGTAAGTGAGGGATGGGGGGGCACCATTACCCCCCCTCACCACCCTCAGCATCATCCCCCCTCACCATCACTCCCTCAGCATCACCCCCCTCATCACCCACAGTATTACCCCCATCACCCTCTCCCTCAGCAGCATTACCCCCTCTGTCACCATCACCCCTCCCTCAGCATCACCCCCCACTATCACCACCCTCACATCACCCCCACTATCACCACACCCTCAGTACCCCTCCTTAGCTATCAACCCCCTGTTCTATCACCACCTCAGCATCATCCCCTCACTATCACTATCACCCTCTCACTATCACCCCTCGCCATCACCCTCAGCATCACCCCCCACTATCACCATCACCCCTCATCATCACCACCCCTCCTCACTATCACCTGCCCTCAGCATCACCCCCTCACCATCACCCCCTCACTATTATCCCTCACCACCTCAGTATCACCCTCACTATCACCCTCAGCATCACCCTCACCATCACCCTCACTATATCCTCACCACCCTCAGCATCACCCTCACTATCAATACCCCCTCACTATCACCCCGGCCATCACCCTCAGCATCAATTCTCACTATCACCCCCACCATCACCTCAGTATCACCACACCCCTCACTATCACCACCCTCAGTATCACCCTCACCATCATCCCCCACCACCTCAGCATCACCCCCTCACTATGGTCCTCACCACCTCATTATCACTCCCCACCACCCTCAGTATTACCCCCTCACCTATCATCCCTTCCTCAGCATCACACCCTCAAAGTATTACCCCCCAGCATCACCACCCTCAGCATTACCTCTCCTCACCATCACTCCCTCCCTCAGCATCACCCCCCCTCATCACCCACAGTATTACCCCCATCACCCTCTCCCTCAGCAGCATTACTCCCTCTGTCACCATCACCCTCTCCCTCAGCATTACGCCTCCTCACCATCATCCCCTTCCTCAGCATCACACCCTCAGCATTACCACCCTCAGCATTACCTCCCCTCACCATCACTCCCTCCCTCAGCATCACCCCCCTCATCACCCACAGTATTACCCCCATCACCCTCTCCCTCAGCAGCATTACCCCCTCTGTCACCATCACCCTCTCCCTCAGCATTACGCCTCCTCACCATCACCCCCTCTCACCATCACCCGCCTCTCCCTCTCACCATCACCCGCCTCTCCCACTCGCCATCACCCGCCTCTCCCTCTTACTATTACCCACCTCTCACCATCACCCCCCTCTTTAAGCAGCTACCCCATACACATAGGGTACAAGACAAAAACGCAAACATGCTCACAGAGACATACCGTATTTATTCGAGTATAACGCGCACACGTGTATAACGCGCACCCCTAATTTTCGATTAAAAATCGGTATAAAATTTTGTTTCACACCAAGCATTGTAATTAACAAAAAAACGTTGTTGAATACGTGCGGCCATGACAAAAATCATTTATTGACAACGTAAACTGGTATAAACACAATACCGAAATAAAATTACCGGTAACAATATTTATTTAAAATGCTTCAAAGACAGATTCATCATCAGATACACTAAAGACTTGTTCCCATTCTTCTCGAGTTAATTTTTCATCAGTGTCCCAGTTGGCAGGAACATCTGTTTCTCCAGTTTCTTCGCTTTCTTCTGAGTCTGAATTCCACAGCAGGTCGTCTTCTGTGCCGTCCATTTTATTGCTGATGCCTGTCTTCAAAAAACTCTTGATGATCATTTCTTTTGGTATGTCTTCCCATGATGTTTTAACCCAGGATGTCACGAGAGATAGACCAGGTTTCTTGAGGTTTCCTTTTGCAGTCAATTCTTTGTCGTCGGATTTCATCCAGGTAATCCACTTTTCCCTGACTCTGTCTTTGAAGGGTTTGTTTAAAACGACATCTAGTGGCTGAAGAATAGAGGTTAGTCCACCTGGAATCACAGCTTGAAATGTTTTTAGACTTTTCAGTTTGTCCTTCACAGTGTCTGTCAGGTGTGAGTGGAACTGGTCCCATACAAGCATGGATTTCTTCAGGATTGCGCCTGGTCTAGTATTCCAAACTTTATTTAACCATAAAATGATTCCCTTTTCATCCATCCATCCTTTAGGATGACAATGGATCACGACACCTGGTGGAAATTTAACTCCTTTTGGAATAGTCTTTCTTTTAAAAATCACCATTGGTTTAAGTTTAAAACCGTCTGCCATACAGGATAACACAACGGTAAAATGAGTTTTCTCATGGCCTGTGGTTCTAATCTGGACTGTGTGCTTCCCTTTGCTGTCAATTGTCCTGTTGCCTGGTAGGTCAAAACACATGGGGGTCTCATCCATATTGCCTATCTGTGAAAGTTCAAAATTAATCTGCTTGCGTTGGTTGATTATAAAGGTATGGAATGAAGCAATCTTCTCTTCTAAATCATTAGGTAGCTTCTGTGCTATCTTTGTTCTCTGGCGTATTGCAAGTCCATGCCTTTTCATAAACTTTTGTGTCCATCCATTAGAGGCTTTGAAGTTTGAATCTTTGCAAAACTTTTGGGCTTTAAGTCTAATGTGGAGTGATGTGACAATGTACCCACTACTTCTTTGGTCAATGATCCATTCATAAAGTTCCTTCTCCATATCTGGGTACATGGCTCTTCTCCCTCGTTGTGCTTTTTTTGTTTTATTCATATCTTTCAGGACGACTTTCTGTTTTCTCCATTCTCTAACATTCGTCTCTGGTACAGTGAATTCTCGGCTAGCTGCTCGATTTCCGTGAATTTCAGCATGATCAACAACTTTGAGCTTGAATGAAGCGTCATATGCAGAACGTTTTCTCTTGATACCAGTTGCCATCTAATGTAAACCAGTATATCAATTAAAATATGAAGAACACTGAATTACGGTACGCAAAACACTGAATTGTACAAAAGCAATGCTTACCGTAACGTGTGGGAGACGAGGAAATGAAGCGGCGACCATACAGCGGATAATAAGAATTCTCACCCCCAGTTCGGGCCGCCCACCGTACGCGACGAGGGGACTTTTTTTTTCTTCGCCCTCGTGTACAGTGTACGGCTGCAGCCCGGAAATGGCGCAGTGTGAACTCACAATTCACCTGCGCCCTCAATGGACCGGCCGCCACTGCCACCTCACCCCAGCCCTCGTTTATAACGCGCACCCAAACTTTGATTTCTTTTTTTGGTAGAAAATGTTGCGCGTTATACTCGAATAAATACGGTACATTCACACACACACGGATACTCTCTGTCAGACACACTCTCAGGCACATACACAAGTAAACTGTGCATCAATGTGTATATGTGACAGTGTGCATGTATTGCAACTCTATTTTTTTCACTTTTTTGTTAGTGGGGCCTCATGTTTGAGTTTCGCCTAAGGCCTCATAAAGTCTAGAGCCGCCTCTGCAGAAGGAGCCTCAGAAGAAAAAGAAGACTGTGTCAAATGAAGGAGAAGAAAATGAGATTGGAGCACTTCATTCTGGACACCACATCATAAGGCTTTGGTACCTGGGCCTGGCAGGGAAACTTTGGACCTTCTCATCTCCCCAGGTAAAAAATAAATATCAGTGTTAATGTGTTCACTTTAATTTACTGAGTGTCAGGAAACACAGAGGGCCGCTGGGTAGGGGTGCCGCTGATTGGCTAGAGGGTCAGCTGGCACTCTAAGCCAATCAGTAGCTCCCCATTCATGAAAACGTAAAACATTTTTATGAATCGGTAACTAGCGATTGGCTTGGAGCGTCAGCTGACCACTCTAGCCAATCAGCGGCACCCATGCCTGACGTCAGTCTGCACTTCCTGACACTCCGTTTAAGAAGCTGAATACCACTGAGCGACCTGGAGATCTGGAGCTGGAGGAAGCCTTTGGGGGTTAACCATTTGAGAGTTAAAGTTGTTATGGTGACCAGAATGTTCCTTTAATTTGCTTAACCCCTTAAGGACACATGACATGTGTGACATGTCATGATTCCCTTTTATTCCAGAAGTTTGGTCCTTAAGGGGTTAAAGGAACACTATAGTGTGAGGAATACAAACATATATTCCTGACACCATAGTTGTAAAAAAGCTATTCACCCTGGCTTTATGTAAAAATGACTATGTTCCTTCCCATTCATGACACTGTCAAAAAGGGGCCAAGCATGGATATCATTACAATTATGCCCCCCCCTGGAAAAATTTCTGCGGATGCCCATGTGCATGGGCACAAAAGAAAGCTGCAGTTTGACCACAGGGAAAACAACTGGGCTTTCCGTGGGCCTTGGTTGAGTTGAAGTGGTTTGGTTTTCGGGGTGCGGGGTGGAGACAGATCAGCTTGGAAATTTTTCAGAGAGTGGTTGTGGGGCATGTGCCAGACGTGGTGTTAATTTATGAAGGGGGTCATGATCTTGAGCTTGTTCCCCAGATGGATTTGGTCAGGTGCATGAAGAGGGATATGGACTGGTTACAAGACTTTGTTCCGGGTGTGTTTATCATTTGGTCCGAAATGGTGCCTCGCTTTAACTGCCAGGAATCAGATAACTATTGCAAAATGTAGGGGCAAGGTGAATAAATTGATATCAGGCAACTTGGGGGCATAGTGATTAGGCATGTGGAGCTGGAAACCATTTTACCTGGATATCTCATGAAAGATTTTCTTTCAGACATGGGCAATGATTTTCTCAACCTGGGATTTCAAGAGTGCTTGCGCTATTCCGGTTGGGTGGCAGGCGCTCAGGTGGCTTAAGGCGGTCAAGCACTGAGCTGTGGCGGGGGGTTAAATAAGAAAAGTGGGGTGGACAGGGTTATCTGGGATGGGAAATAACGTTTTTTGTTACTGAGGAGTACTATGTGTTTTATTGGTAGGTTCAAGCTCGTCGGTGGCTCTGAACCTGGGGGTGTAGGGGTATCTCGATATACCCCTACAGTTTGGATCTGTTTGAAAAATGGTGCCTTCTGTTTTTTTATAGGCCTGTGGTTATACGGTTATGTACATTGTGGGGTCATTGTCAGGGGTAAATGGGGATGGATGGGGTTTAAGGGTTTTTTGTTGCCTAATGTTTGACAATGACCTTATTTGTGAATGTTATGAATTTTATTAAAGCTGTGGAAAATGTAATCCAACATTCATTTGTGTCCGTGTTTTACTGAGGAGGGTGGAGGAAAGGCGGGCTAGCCACCTATGTCTAAAAGGACAACTATGCGCATGTCATGTATCCTATATAGATTGTCATATTTGTGCACTTGAGAGAGTGTCTATATAGTTTGCACCTAGCAATTGAGATTACTAAGTTTTGTCTCTCCATGTGGGTCTGACTACCCACACAATCCAGAATGTCACCCACAAAAGTTTCCTTAACATACCAGAAGGCTGGTATCATACAGGCCCTCCACTAGGCTGCTCATTTGCCGCCCGCCAAAAAAACTGTCTCTTCTCTATTACATTCTCCTTTTTTGGTGTCAATAAAGACATACCAAATTAAGAACCAAACCTGTCCAGACTTGCAAAAGTTGGTTCCTGCGAAATTTTGGCTCTTGGCAGATCAGACTTATTTCGGTCAAATTGCATTTCGGCCTGAAATAAATCCAAGTCTAATAGTTTCTTCACAATGCTTCAGCAGTACTTTGCTACTAGTAGCCATCTGAGGAGTGGCCAGTGGAGTTATCACTAGGCTGTAATGCAAACACTGCATTTTCTCTGAAATGACAGTGCTTACTACAAAAAGCCTGCACAGAATGATTATACTCACCAGAACAAATACAATAAGATGCAGTTGTTCTGGTGACTATAGTGTCCCTTCAAGTCTATTCTAATCTTAGCCAATAATGTAACTCCTGACATTTAACTCTTCTTCTAATGCCAAAACTCTCACCCCTGAACCCATAATATCAACACAAAGGAGAGCACTTTTATTTTCCCAATGGACTTTCATCAGGATATTCATTCATATAGACTAAATACCAATATTTACCAAAATGCAAATACACCACATGACCCAAACCATTAGACCAAACTAATTATTTATGAGTATATCAAACCTTCCCAGACATGATAGTCAATCCCAGACTTGCAAAAAAAATCACAAGAGGTCGTGAACAAATGATAAATTATAGTACATAGACTGAACCATAATGTCATAAAAAATAAAAAGTTGAAATAAGAAAATAAGAGTGTTGTGGACAAAATAATAACTCTACAAATTTTTTGTAAAATGCCTATTTACTCTGCATTGCTATAACCAATACTAATCATAAACTATTTAAGATGGCCGCTGGGAAGTTTCCCCTGTCATCAACTAACACCTTCAATTAACAAGATGGCGCTGGAATGTGGAGGAGAGCTCCATGACGTCAGTGATGTCACACCCGGTAGGATAAGCAATTGATGAACCACTTAACACCTAACTAACTATTGATGTATTTTATTTTGTTATCTATAATTATGCATATGATGTATTACTGCTTTATTAGGGGCTTACCAGCCCGCTGGAATAAACATTCCTGACTTTTTCATTAACCTAGAAACTTGTGTCTGGTGTGAATTACTCAGGAAGGCGTGCACGCACTATCAAATTGATTTGGAAAGAGGCAGATACACAAAATTTATCAAACCTTTGTTTTGATCCACAACAATTTTGGTGCCCAACATGGGGCACCGCGGCTTCGCCGGACCGGAAGGCCGGAAAACGGGACCGGAGAGGACCCCCCAAAATGGGACCGGAGACTGATCACCTCCTAAGATATATGGTAATTATCTATATCTATTTTCCTGTATTGTGTTGGTCTACCTCCGGGTCCATTCCGGCCTCCAGAAGGCAACAGAGACAGGTAAAAGTTCTTGCCCGGTGCCTTTTTATATGAACCTGTTGATTGTCTATGTGCCTCCTGAGTGTGAGTTCTGAGTGTGAAGAGTTTGCTTGGGTATTCAGTCAGTTTTAGCGCATTATTTTGATGTTATTGTCTAGCTTGACTGTGTAGAGGACAGGGAATTATTGATATTGTATCCGCCTTAAAAGTGCTGGGAATTATTGTTGTTGTATCTGCCTTAAACGTGCTGTGAATTATTGTTGTTGTATCCGCCTGAAAAGTGCTGGGAATTTTTGTTATTCTGTTCAGAGAAGAACAGGGTTTTGTTGGTTAGCGTAGTTATGTTTGCTCCATTGGTTTTTCTCATTGCATTGTATTTATTAATCAGCTGGGATCGTGTGTATGTTTTGGTTGCTTCAGTGAGCGTTGTGTGGTTTTTACTTTGTACACTGGTTTGACTCGAGACTTTGTGCACATATCTACATCTGTGGTTCTTGTCAATGTCTTCTTATTAGCATTTCTACCTTCACCTTCTCACTCATTCTTTTCCTCTACTGTACCTTTGACCCAGAGCAGTTTTAGTCACCCACTGCTCGCCTCGCTCCGATCCGTGACCACCATCTTAGGTAGGCGGATCCTGTGACTTGGCTACGTTTGGGGAAGACCCACTCAGATTTATTTCTCATGGCAGTCAAGCACTGTAGACACTCTTCTTCCTGTTTCCAACCACCTATCTCTCTTTGAAGGGATACCTGGTTTATTGAGAATGGGACAGGAACATGCTAAACCCTGAAAGGGTACTTGGCTTGTGATTTGGTAAAAGAAAGGGCCGGCGAGGAGGCTATGTTTAAGGTGAAAAAGATCTCTAAGATCTGTGGTGTTTCCCAGTGGCCGTCTACAGCCTGAGTTTTGGAGGAAGTTGTTGAAGGATAAGGAGGCATTGCTACTCGATAACGGGTTGACTAAGGCTGCAGGGGGCGGGGTGCCACACTACTGGTACAGTCTAGATATCAGTTCTGAGGTTCGTATTGAGCTGCATGTGAAGAAACCCATTCCAAACCCGTTCCACATGATGAACAGCCTAAGGACTACTTGCATTGCACTCTGTGGTTCAGAAGTACCCCAGGACCAGAACAACACTATGAAGAGGAATTATTCAGACTGGTGGAGATACGTATCATTCTGACAGACCTGTTCTGTGATTCCAAAGGAAATAGTGTGATCCTGGTCAAACTACCCATGGAGATGACACAGATGTATCATCACTGGGAGGTGGTCGTTTCACTAAATCCCCAGATATCTCATGGAAAGATCTTGGTCCCCTAGCAAAGACATGGAGCACTGCGAGCCAAGAACAACTCATGGAAGAGGGAGTCACTAAGAGAACTACTAATTGCAAAACAGTCAGTTACCCCCGATATCATACAGAAATAAGTGAAGATATCCCTCCCACAGAACAAGACCCAGATGCTCCTCATGATTGCTTCGTACAGATGAAAATGGAAATGACACATCTCCCTACAGTACATAAAGTTACCTTACCAGACCCTGATTTCACCCTATTTGTGGACCAGATTTGCAGACGAACAGGGAAAATATCATACTGAATTCGCTGTCACAACAGAAGATCAAGTAATCCATGCATCTTCACTTCCCTCATCCAAGTCTGCTCAAGAAGCTGAATTGATAGCCCTCACAGTAGCATGCAGGATGTCTGAAGGAAAACGTGCAAATATTTATGCTGACTGAAGATATGCTCTGGGTGTGGCACACGATTTTGGGCTAATCTTGAAAACGAGGGGTCCTCACAGCAGCTGGTATACCAGTCAAACATGGCGCCTCCATTAATGAACTGACGGATGCACTACTACTGCCTGAGGAAGTGGCCATCCTGAAGGTGAAGGCCCATGGGAGACTGAATTCAGAAGAAGCACATGTCAACTACCGGGCTGACCAGGCTGCCAAACATGCAAACTCTACCTACCGACCTCAAATTCTTGAAGTAACAACAGGCAACTGCCCCCCCACAAGAAAGACAAAGCTGGAAAGATAAAGGGGCAACCCTTCAGGATGGGGTGTACACTAACAACCTCAAATTGTGCCTACCCAAAACTATGTATCCAGCCCATGGGCCCATGGAGCAGCACACCTATCTAAGAACCTCATGAACTCTTTGATTGACAAATATTTTGAAGCACCTGGCATTACTACTCTGACCAAGAACTACTGCAGATCTTGCACCATTTGTACCAAATGTAATCCAGGGAAAATAATCAAGGCCGTTTCAAAACACCTGGCCAAGCCACAGTATCCCTTCCAAAGAATCCAGATTGAT